TTATAAATTATGTTGAAAATTGCCAATTCCATTATTTTACACACTTTGTTAATCTCTGCTTCTCAAGTACTTGCCTCCTAATGTTAATATCTGGGTTTTCTGTGAGTCTGATTTTCTGGTTTTCTCTTGATTATGTGTCTGCCACGTATTTTGCTTCTTTTGATGTCTCTTAATGTGTTTACTTAGTGTCCCCAAACTAGAGTAACGCTGTGTATGAATGAACAGGATTTTCTTTCAGATGATGTGTTTTCTCCCAGAGAGGTTTGCTCTTTGCTGTGTCAGACAGATAGAATGAGGAGTTTGATTATCTCAATCCACTGAGGGATTACAGAGACCGCTCCCTCTGTCTACTAGGAATCTGTCTTCTTACAGAAGTTTTCTCTTCCCTTTTTACTCAGCCTCTATCTCTCTCTCTTTTTTTTTTTTTTTTTTTTTGAGATGGAATCTTGCTCTGTAGCCCCGACTGGAGTGCAGTGGTGCAATCTCGGCTCTTGGCTCACCACAACCTCTGCCTTCCAGGTTCAAGCGATTCTCCTGCCTCAGCCTCCTGAGTTGCTGGGATTATAGGCGTGCACCACCATAACCAGCTAATTTTTTTGCATTTTTAGTAGAGACGGGGTTTCACCATGTTGGCCAGGCTGGTCTTGAACTCCTGACCTCAAGTAATCTGCCTGCCTCAGCCTCCCAAAGTGTTGGGATTACAGGCGTGAGCCACCACTCCCAGCCTTGACCCAGCCTCTCTATCATCCTTCAGTGTTCCATTTCTGAGGAGATATACCACTGGGAAAGCTGTTTATGTATCTGGAGCTTTTCTAGATTCTAGTCTGTCATTTCACCCCACGTGGACATCTAAAGCACTACTAGTCTCCTGTTTCCTTTATTAGAGTTCCTCTGCGTAAGCCAAACTCAGTCCTTACTCATGCCCAAACTCTGCAGTTACCCACATGGAAGAACAAGCCAGTGGTCTCAGCTGTCTTGGAAGTGCTCTTCCACCTCTGGATTGTTCGTTCTTTTAGTCCTCATTGCTTCCACAGCTTTCTTGTGTTGGTTAGTCTAGCCTTTGAAGCAGGCGCATTGGCCTGCCTCCTATCTAATCACTTACTTTAGGGAAGTGGAAGTCCGAAGTTTATCTTTATAAAAAGAAAAGGCAGATAATTTTAGGCGTGCTTATTTTTATAAGCGTGGTAATGTTTTGAATAGTTTTATCTGTGCTGCATACTCATAGTTATAAAGCATTTTTTTCCTTTCTGATATGGGTGTGTTTATCAAAATATGCCCCAGATCTGGGGTGAGCAAACAATGACCCACAGACCAATGAGGCCCAATTCTTGTTTTTATGTAGCCTGTGAGCTAAAAATGGTTTTTACATTTTTAAAAGGTTGAATTGAAAATAAAAAAGGAAGAGAATGTTTTGTGAGCATTTTGTGAAATTCGGAAGTTTTATTGTAATATATGCACACTCCTGTCTTTATGTGCTGCCAATGGCTGCTTTCATGCTGTAACCATTGAGTAGTTGCAGCAGAGATCTTGTGACTCACAAAGTGTAAAATATTTGCTATCTGGCCCTTTGCAGAAAATAATTTCCCTATTCCTGCTTTAGATCACAGCCTCAGAAATTTTTTATTTCTTATTACTAAGGGAAATTAAGCAAAAGATTGAAACCATTTTATTTCAGAAGTTCTGTAAATTTGGATTTATTAAAATCTTAGCATTTTACCGGATTTAGAAGGAACCTCAGTCTCCTTCATCTCTTTATTTTGCAAATGAAGAAGCAGATTTGAGTGAAAGAGGTTTTAAAATTATGACTCTATTTTTGGTATAAAGTATACTCAGTAATAAGCTGATAGAGAAACTGTTGATCTATATCACTGAACAATTTGCAAAATTCGTTTGTTCTTATATTGCAGAAGTATATGGTTTCTCTTAAACAGCGTAGCTCTTAAGAAAATCTTTTTGGAATTTTTAAAGTAAATATTTTAAAATAAATATTTAAGGCATGTTAATAGCCTTTCCCTTTTATTGTCAACCACAATTCTTTCAAATCTCATGGATATGAAGTTATTTTTGTGAGAAGACTAAAAGTCTTACAGGACCAATTCTAGACATTCTTCATTAAGCTTCGATTGATTTAGAATATCAAGCCCTAAATCATCAGAAATTTCAAGGTAAATTGTAAATGTGTAAGACTGGTTTTTAGAGTTTCTCTTTTATATTTCTGTCCTCAGATATTGTGAAAGGTTTAAGCTTAGTTCTCAAATATAGAGATATAATGGTGTGTTATATTACTCGCAAATGGCATTTTAAAATTTTCCATTGTTGAATACAAATTTCATTTGTATAATTTTCAACTTATTACTGGCTTTTTTAGAAAACCTCTACCTCTACCTCTACCTCTACAAACCAAATCAGCAGCAACAAAAAAAAAAAACACAGTAAAAGTAATTTATAATTAATTTGGGAATAGCTAATTCTTGGATGGTCTGTACTTAAGAATTGATGGGTTCAGATTCATTAGAATTGTTACAACCAATTAAATGCCATCATGCATAGAAAGAAGTATTTTAGAAATGTACGTAAAGTCATTTGAACTTTAAAGAAGTTCCATTAGATAAAACAGACACAAAAATTGGTCTCTAATTGAGAAAATTTAAGTCAGTTATAACTAGTCTTTAGGAAATCTATCTGAATTTGGATTTATATATTCTACTTCTCTGAAAATTGGTTTGGGATAAATTTTGATGCTTTTATAAGTTATATAGAAGGGGCTAACCTCTTAGTAGTTATGTATTCCTGTTGCTCAAATACCTGATTTCACTCAGGTAATCTTTAATATAAAGGAAAGTTGGTTTCCTAAATACTATGAAGAATACTTACTGTGTTTTATTTGTTTATTTGTTCATCTGATATTTATTGGCCATCCATGATGTTTCACATTGATGCAGGTGCTGAAAGTACACAGTTGAAATAGACATTCGTCATGCCCTCATAATGCTAGTAGTTTAGTAGATTCTATAAGCAGGTATATGCATTTATGTTTAGCATTTGGCACTGTTAATCTTTCTCTTTCCCTTTACTTTTATGGCATACTATCTTGTGAAAATCTCATCCACATACATAGTTTCCATGACCTCCTTTGCACTGAAGTCTGTGCAAAATAATCCCATGGATAGCTCCTTAGTGGGCCTTTCTGGCTAGATATGCTTTAAATGCACTCATGTATCCATACCATAGATGTAGATACCTTAGAGTAGTGAACAAGAAAGACAGAGCCTCTGCACTGTTGGAGCTTATAGCTTGGTGAGGAAACAATACATTAAACAGTTCCATACATAATTACAGTTATTGACTATACAATGAAACGTAAGTATACGATGAACTGAGAGTGTATATTAGGGCAACTCATCCAGTGTGGGGAGTTAGACTTAAGTGACACTTATGCTGAGACCTCGAAGATAAGTAGTGGTTAGCAGGAGAAGATGTGGTAGAGAATTTCAGGAAGAGGGAAAACCTTTGTGAAAGTTGTGATGAAGCTTAACAGGTTCAGACAACTGAAAGAATATCCTTCTTGCTGGAGTATGATGAACCAGGTGGAAAAGAATGCAAAATGAGGCAGGATAGATGGGTGGAGGTCAGTTATTGGAAGAGGATCTTTTAAACGATGTTGGTGCTTTTGGACTTTATCTTAAGAGAATTGAGAAGATACTGATTTTTAAGCTGGGGAATTATCCACTCAGGTTTGTGTCTTTAAAAGTTCAGTTAGGTTCCTATGTGAAGAATGGATTGAAGGGTATGGATGTGCAGAAATGAGTTAAGCTTTTGCAGTGGTCCAGGTAAGAGGTGGTGGTAACCTAGCTTATTAGCATTGCAGCAGTAAAGATGGTGTGGACAGATTCAAGAACTGTTCATGAGATATAATTGACCAGATTTTGTGATTATTTTGATTTCAAGAGTGAAACTGAAGGAAATGTCAAGGGTAACGTTTTCATCTGCCTGTTACTCTTATCTATTTGTTGACATTTTGGTATTTTGAAGTTAAACATCTTCAAAATCAAACCCATTACTTTTTTTCCAGCAGACTAACTCTTCCTTCTGACTTCTCAATTTTTATGAATGACATTGTCTACCTCCAGGTGACCTAGGCTTAAAACTTTTCTATTTTGTCACTGCTCTCACTAAATTAGTTACCAAATCTTAAGGACTTGACCTCTTCAGCATCTGGAACAACCTCCTCCCCTTTGCTCTCCCCTGATTCCCTCTTTGATCACCAAACTGTGCTTTCCATTCAAGTCTCTGAGCTCCTTGAGGACAAGAACTGTCTTTTTCATTTTGTGTCTTTACTACCTAGTATCTCAGCATGGTGAACATAAAACATATTAAGTGAAATGAAAATAAAATGTTTTCCTTGCTTCTTGTTTCTTGCACCATAATTCTTATTCTTTATCACATATTTTTTTTCTGTTTCTCAGAGTTATTCAGGGGCTTCCTTATGCTTAAAGAATAATTTGGTCTTAGGGCCATGAGATAATGAATGTATCCAGATTGGTTGCTGGATACATAAAGTATATGAGTTGGGAATTTTGCTATAGTAGTTTAGTAAAAAGTGGCTTTTAAGTCCCTTTGCACTATAGCCCTCACTACCAAAAAGAGCAGATTTTTTTCTCGGAAACATTACTGATACTTGTAAACATCCCCACTCTGGATAAAGTGTAAAATACTTCATTTAATGCCTTTTTAATGTTTTAAGTTTATATATGTTTTTGCAGAATTCAAATTTTTATTATCATTTAATGTATATTGCTTAGCTGCCCCATGTTATCTTCTCAATAGCTACTTTATATGTTAGTATCTTATATGTGTATGTAAAGTATATTGTTTCACATAAAGAAAGTTTGCAAGAAAAAGATCCAAATGTCTCTTTTGGAAATACGCATTTTTGATAGCTTTGTATGTCCTAATATGAACATTCATATGTTTTTTTCCATTTTTCTTTTAATTTTTAGGAATAAGAAAATATTAAATAAGAAGAAATTGAAAAGAAAACAGAAGAGCAAATCAAAAGTGAAGACAAGAAGCAAGGTAAAGCTGTTGGTAATTTATAAGGAATAGGACTGTTTCATATGGTGATTTGAATAAAAATGCCAAGATTTAAAAATATAAGTATAATTAGCAAACCATTTTGTTTGTATGTGCTGAAGTAATTTTGTAAAAGCCCTTTATGATTTGGTTCCTCTTTTAGTTTCATCTTTCTTTTGGGTGTTTCTTTTCTTTCTTGCTTTTTTTTTTTTTTTTGAAACAAGGTCTTTTCTGTCACCCAGGCTGGAGTGCAGTAGTTTCCTGGGCTCAAGTGATCCTTCCGTCTCAGCCTCCTGAGTAGCTGAGACTACAAGTAAATGTCACCACACCCAGCTAATTGTTAAATTTTTTGTAGAGACAGGATCTCATGGTATTGGCCAGGCTTGTCTCGAACTCATGGGCTCAAGCAATTCTCTCTCCTCAGCCTCCTGAAGTACTGGGATTGCTGGCGTGAGCCACTGTGCCCAGCCTATTTTTGGGGGGTTTCTTGACCAGTAGACTGGAAGTTAATATCTGAATGTTGAAAATTATTTATTATTTATTCTTAATATCTTTGATCAGTCCTTTGGGGGAACATATCCACTTCTGTTCTCTTTTTTCAATCTGACTACAGGTACTAGAAACTTAAGTAAAATTAGCTTGTAAACCGGGACTTGGGTTTGGGTTTGTCATATGCCTTTCTTGACAGAAATTAGGGAAACTTGGTGTGTCCATATTGTTCTGAGCCTCTTTTGACTGTTGGTAGCTGTACAAAAGAAAAGGCAATATGGAATATTTGAATTAGGTGAGAGCTTAGAAACCAAGAATCTATTTTCACATAATGCAGAGATCTCTATAAAATCCATCTTTTTTATACTAAACGTTTTCAGTGACCAGAGCACTTTATATAATAGTCTCTTTTCTATTGAACATCTAGACAGAAGGAAGAGGAGAGTCATAACTGTGATTCCTGAACAGCTTCACTTTGAGTTAAAGAAACAGTAGATTTGCTGGGCCTGTATATCAACTGTAGAGGCAATTGTTTCCTACACTTTTAAGTTAGTGTTCTTGCTATTGTAACTGAGAGAAATCTACTTCAAAGTAGCAAACCCAAAATAAAATGAAAGGTTGGGGGATGGTATTTATTTGGTGGCTCTATCTTGAGACACAGCTGGATCCAGGGATGAAATAATATCATCAGCTAGCCACAGTGTCTCATGCCTGTAATCCCAGCACTTTGGGAGGCCGAGGCTGGCAGATTATGAGGTCAAGAGGTTGAGACCATCCTGGCCAACATGGTGAAACCCTGTCTCTACGAAAAATACAAAAATTTGCTGGGCGTGGTGGCATGTGCCTGTAGTCCCATCTACCCAGGAGGCTGAGGCAGGAGAATCGCTTGAAACTGGGTGGTGGAGGTTGCAGTGAGCTGAGATCGCACCACTGCACTCCAGCCTGGTGACAGAGTAAGACTCTGTCTCAAAATAAATAAATAAAATCATCGAACCCGTATTTTCAGCTCTTACTTCTGCCTTCCTCTGTGTGTGGACTTATTACCTGTGACTGAGGACTGAGGCTGCCAGCAGCTCCAACTCCATTTGCTCTGAGCAAGAGGCAATCTATTCTACTAGTCATAGCAGAAAGTCTTGGGTAGGATTTTCGGTTTACCTGCATCATTTGCTTTGACCACGGAGACATGGGATACTTTGGTTAGACTGAGTTGTATTTTTAACCCGGAGATGGGCAGTGGGTGAGCACCCTGGTGTATAGGCCACATGGAATGAGGGAGGAATAGTTACCCTAAGGAAAGTGTTGCTGGGCGGGCAGAAAAATAATGTCTGTTCACTGTATCCCTTCTCATTACTTCTGCTTCTGGGATAGAGGAGGGAAGTGGAATGCATTCTCAATGTACAGAAAACCTCTAACAAATACAGTCATTCAGATTTCCAACCTCTGTCCCTTTTCAACTTTTTGGTGCTATGTGCAAATCAGAGTATGGGAATTTTGAGTATCTTTGAAGTTTTTCTAAGGTTTCATTTGGTGATTTCCTGAAGTGGTGGCATATGATATCCAGGAAGAGATGAGGAGAAGTCAAGGTCTTTTGTCCCTTTCAATTCGGCCTCCAACTAGCTTTGTGCCCTTAGCAATTCAATTTTTTTCCTCTTGCCCTCAGTATTTATATATCTTCTTTTTAAGAGTAGTTTGAGATAACAGTGATATAAATAAGTTCATTAATTTGTTCCTCAAACATTAATTGCGTGCTGAGTATGTGCAGGCATTATACTGGATGTTTGGGATACAAAGATGAGTAAGAGGCATTTTTTGCTCATGGAAAGAATATAAAGTAGTAAAATGGTGTTGTTAGTCTCCTTGACCTGTATTACTTTTTCCAGATTATTTTTCATCTACTCTGTTTTTGAAAGTTATTTTCAAAATGCCATTTAGCTGGCATTTTATCTACTTTATATCTACTTTATGTATTACATATACATAGATGTTACATCTACTTTATATCCTTTATGGCTATCAACCCCTCTATTTCTCCTCATCCCATCCATCAGTCATCTCCTTTATTTAATTTCCATCTTACCCAGATTAGATACCACAGTCTTTCTTTTTAGAAAAACTCTTACTTAATCTGCAACAAATTACACAAACTTGGTGGTTTAAAATAACACTAGTTATCTTACAGTTCTGGAAATCTGAAGTCCAAAATGGATCTCACTGAGCTAAAATCAAGGTGTCAGCAAGGCCGTATTCCTTCTGGAGGCTCTAGGAGGGAATCTGTTTTTTTGCCTTTCCAGTTTCTATAATAGAGGCTGCTCAAATGTCTTGGGTTGTGGCCCTATTCCATCTTCAAAGCCAGTGGTGGTTGGTTGAGTTTTCTCATGCGGCATCACTGATAGTTTTCTGTTGTTTTATCTCTTCCTCTCACTGTCCAGCCTTCCTCTTTCACTTGTAAGGACCCTTGTGATTACATTGGCCCATCCAGATAATCTGTGCATTTCAAAATCCTTAGTTTAATCACATATACAGCGTCCCTTTTGCCATGTAAGGTAGCATTCACTTAGGTTTTGGGGAATTAGGGTGTAGATGTTTTTGGAGGCTATTTTTACCTACCGTATCTCACTTGTATGTTTTTGCATTAATCTGACAAAACTCAATCTTGTATGAATCCAGTTATTTTGTCCCTCCCTTAAGGTGAGTTTCATGTGCTGCCAAAGAGAGTTATACAAGAGTTAATTGATGATAATACACATTCATGATCATCAATCTCAAGTATACCATAGCCAGACTATCTTACTATTTTTTCTGGTCAAATAGTTCTCTTTTCTTCTGTGATTGTTTCAGACCTTTGCCATGCTCCTCAAACCTCTGATAAATTCTACCCTCCAGCATATGACTTCACTTTCTTACAGGAGAAATCAAATTCATTAGTCAGAAAACTTCCTCAACTTCCTGATCCCAAATGTGTCTGTCTTAGATCAGGCTTCTCAGTAGCTGAGCCTGACACAGAGATTTGAAGTTTGCAGTTCAGTGAGTTTTGGAAGTTAACATTCATGCATAGAAGCACTACTGCAGTCAAAGTTCAGAACACTTCCATCATCTCCAGGGATTTTCTTTTTATTTTTTGAGATGGAGTCTCACTCTGTTTTCCAGGCTGGAGTGCAGTGGTGTGTGATCTTAGCTCACTGCAGCTTCTACCTCCTGGGTTCAAGCAATTTCCCCACCTCAGCCTCCTGAGTAGCTGGGATTATAGGCACCAGCCACCGTGTCCAGCTAATTTTTGTATTTTTAGTAGAGACAAGATTTCACCATGTTGGCCAGGCTGGTCTCAAACTCCTGACCTCAGGTGATCCACCCGCGTTGGCCTCCCAAAGTGTTGGGGTTACAGGCATGAGCCACCGTGCCTGACCGGTTTTCTTATCCTCTGCTGATTCTATCCCTCCCTATAACCCTGGCTCTAGACAACCACAGATATATTTTCTGTCACTGTAGATTAGTTTTCATTTTCTAGAACTTCGTATAAATGTGATCATATTGTGAGTACTCTTTTTTTTAAAAATCTGGTGTCTTTCCCTCAGCATAATTTGTGTTTATGTTGTTGTATATCAGTAATTCATTCCATTTTTTTGCTGATTTTATATACCTATATATGCATGTGTGTGTGTGTGTGTTCATTTTTCTTGGGTGCATGCTAGGGAGTGGAATGGTTAAGTGGTTTTTCCTTTGATTTGCCAGAAGGACTCATAAGTCTCATAAGCAGTTTATACTCATGGCTAAGATTTATTACAACAAGGGATGCAGAGCAAGCAGCAAGAAAAAGATATGTGTTTGTGATGTATAGGGAGTTATGGCATAGGCTTCCTAGTTCTTTGTTGACTGAGCACACAAGACATGTTTTCTCTCTGACAGTGAACTGCAGAGAAATGTGTGTATTGTTTTTGCTCAGGTGAATTTTAGAATTCAAGACTTTTTGTGGGTTTGGTCACATAGACATATCTTGTTAGTCAGCCACAATAAGTGAAACTCAGGTACACATCGTAAAGCTTGATGTTTGTACATGCAGAGCAGTCTGATAGGCCAGGAGACATGGTCCATTGCTCCATGTGTTCATAACAAAATCATCAATCACTACCACAAAGAAAACTCTAAACATCCACATTCCCGAAGGTTGGCCAAGGGTCAATCATGGTTTCCTTTGGGAAATATAAGCAGTAAGCCATCATGCCTGTGGCATTAACTTTTTCCTCAGTGTTGGCACAGTAAATGTACGTTTAGCTTTTTAAGAAACCAGAAAACTCTTTTCCAAAGTGGTTGTTCCAATCTGTAGTCCCACCAGTAGTATATGACCAATCTAGTTGCTTCACATCTTTGAAACACATGGTATTAGCTTTTTAAATTTTAGTCAGTCTACTGAGTAGGGGTTTCCCATTGTGATTTTAGCTTGCTTTTCTCTAATGGCTAATAATGTGAAATCTTTTCATGTACCTTTTGCCATTCTTATTTTTTTTATGTGAAATGTCTGTTCAGATCTTGCCTCCTTATTTTTGTAATTGTCTTCTTAGTACTGAATTGCCAGAGTTTCTCATATATTCTAAATACAAGTCTTTTGTCAGATGTCTGCATTCCAAATACATTTCTCCTATTCTGTGGCTTGCGTTTGGGGGAAGAATTGCCATTTTAATGATGTTGAATTTTCCAATCCATGAACATGGTATATATCTCCATTTATTTAAGTCTTTAAATTTCACTCAGCAACACTTTTTTGTTTTCAGTGTGTAGGGCTTACACTTATTTTATTACTTTTATTTACAATTATTTTATATTTTTGATGTTATTGTAAATGCAGTTATTTTTGAAAATTTATTTTGCTTTGAGATGATTTCAGTATGAATGCGGTGTGTATGTGTTCGTGTGCACGTAAGTCTGTGTAATTTTATCACATGTGTAGGTCCATGTGACTCTTACTACAGTCTGGATATACAGCAGTTCCATCACAAGAATTCTCTGTGATATCCTTTATAACCTTTATAGTATCTTCCTTCCTCATCCTCTCCTTAGCTTCTGGCAACCACTGATCTGTTTAGCATTTATAATTTTACCATTTTAAGAATCTTATCCAGTAGGAATTGTGTAGTATGTAATCATTTAACGATTGGCGCTTTTTTTCCCCACTCGGCAAAATGTCTTTGAGATTCACACACGTTGTTGTATATTGTTTGTTCCTTGCTGAGTAAGCATTTCATGGTATGGATGTACCATAGTTTGTTTAACCATTTACCCATTAAAGGATATCTCGGTCGTTTCTAGCTTTTGACTATTTTAAAAGAAAGCTGTTACGAACATTCATATACTGGTTTTTGTGTGAACATAAGTTTTTATTTCTCTGGTGTAAATGTCCAAGAGCATAATTGCTGGATTATATGGTAAGCACATATTTAGTTTTGTAGGAAATTGCTGTACTTTCTTCCAGGGTGGCTATACGATTTTACATGACCATCAACAATGTATAAGTTTCTCCTCATCCCCATCAGCATTTGGTGTTGTCGCTATTTATTTTAGCCATTCTGATAGGTGTGTACTGTATCTCATTTTAATTTGCATTTCCTGGTAACTAATGATGTTGAAATTCTTTTCATGTGCTTATTTGCCCTTTGTATATCTTCTATATTGATGTGTTTATTCCTATCTTTTGCACATTTTCTAATTAGATTCCTTGTTTGTTTTTACTGTTGACTTTTGAGAATTCTTTATATATTCTGAATACTCATCTTTTATTGGATATGTGGTTTGAAGATATTTTCTCCCAGTCTGTGACTTCAATGCTATTATTTTTGAAATTACATTTTTCATTTGTTCATTCCTAGTATGTAGATATACTACTCTTTTTATATAGTAATCTTATATCCTGATTTTGTTAAATCTGCATACTATTTCTGGTAGCTTTTTTGCAGATTCCTTAAGATTCTTTACATGTTTTTTTTACAAGTAAAAACATTTCTTTTTTAGAAAATACTTCTTCTTGCCTTTTTCCCTTGGCTGCATAGGATATTTTCCTTGTACTAGGTAGGATATCCAGTACAATGTTGATGAGTTGCTGAGAGTAGACCTATTTGCCTGGATCACAATCTTAGAGGGAAAGCATTCAGTCTGTTACCACTTTAGCTGTGGTTATTTTGTAGGTACCCTTTATCAAGTTGAGAAAATTTCCTTCTATTCCTAACTTATACATTTTTTTTTCTGTCATGAATCAATACTGGATTTTTTGTCAAATGATTTTTCTGTGTTTGATTGCAGTATAATATATTTTTTCTCTGTAGTGACAGTGATTACTTTTCCAGTGTTGCACCAACATTGTCCCTGGATTGAACCTCAGTTGGTCATAATATATTACTTTTTTATATATTGTTGGATTTGAATAGCTAATATTTGTAATATCTCTGGATATTTGGATAAGAGATGTTTGTAATATCTCTTATGCATATACTCATAAGTTATATGCCATGACAGTTTAACTTTGATATATTTCTTATTTAACAAGAGTATTTTGTTTTGTTTTTTTCCAATTCTTTATGGAAGAAGAGCTGAATTTTTGGGACCAAGTTTTTTTGGTACTTGTGGTATCATTTTGTTTATCTTAGATACTTCCTAGACATACTTTAATTATTGGAACTTGAATTTCTAAAATATCTTAAAACAGCTTTTTATATTTATAATGTAAATGTTGATCTTGAAATTGTAGTTGCTGTCTGATGAATAAAATATTGGGCATAAAAGAGAAACTGTTTGAGTCTTAACAAATTACCAAGCACATGATTTTTAGCCTTTATCAATACTGATAGATATGAGAGAGCTTAGGGAAGCATCTACAGTTTACTTGGCATTACTGTTATTTGAATGAGAATGAAATCGGTTGATGAAAATTAAGTTTTTTGGGGGGAGACCCTCATTTCTGTGTAAACTTCTATATGTACTTATAAAAGTATTCAAAATGCAATCTAATGTTTGTAGTAGGTCACTGAGACTCTACAGTATATCTGGTGTCTCTTAGGAAGGCATCAAATGAACTTCTTTGATCCAGAACTCTAGCAGTTGAGCTTTGTTGAGTCTATTCCTGTCATGACGATAAGAGAATATTTCTAGGTTTTTTGCCCATCCCTTTCAAGTGCTTGTCAGATTGGTTGGTTATTGCTGCATTACTCAAAAAATAGTGAGGTATAGAAAAGGGGACTAGAACTTGGGTCCATAGACTTAGACTGTCTCTGCTGTGTCATATAAGGTGTCTTCTGCAAGTCAGTTAGCCTGTCTAATCTTTACTTTTATTTAAAATGGGACTTGATGATAGAAAAGAGTGTGAAATGGAAATACTCTGTTTTGTATTTCAGTCTGAAAACTTGGAGAATACAGTAATCATACCAGATATCAAACTACATAGCAATCCTTCTGCTTTCAATATTTACTGTAATGTACGCCATTGCGTTCTGGAATGGCAGAAAAAGGAAATATCGTTGGCAGCTGCATCTAAGAACTCTGTGCAGAGTGGAGAATCAGATAGTGATGAAGAAGAGGAATCCAAAGAGCCCCCTATCAAGCTTCCAAAGGTAAGCCACTGAGTTCTATTAATATTTAGATGTATAACCTGCAGGTGTTCTGGCTGTAATGCATATATATGCATTGTTAAAATACCTTGCTTTATGTAAAATTACATGCTAAAGATAACATGGCTTATGGGCAAAAATAGATTTGGAGCAGAAAAGGAAAACTCTGCAACTTTATATCTAAGGTGCTAACAAAGTCAATAATTGATAATTCACTGGAAAGCGCAGGAAGGGAGATGAGTGGATTGGAGTCTGTTACAGGGGCAATTAAAAAATGTACAAAAGCAGTAGGCTGGAAATGCTGGTATAGAGGCATGGAACCATGGCAGATGGAAGTAGAGCTCTGAGCCAGTGGGCTGAGAGTAAGGTGGACACAAGAAAAAGCCAAGAGCCCTGGAAAGCTGGGAGGTGCTCCTCGCCTGGGATGCAGGTATGCAGTTTTATTTCTCTTGAAGTAGAACTACAAAGCCTCTCAGCTGTGTGGTAGCTAGGCTGAGAGCCTTTTCCTTTCTGCCTAAGCTTATAATTGTACTCTTGATATTGTGGCTTCCCTTGATTAGGGGAAAAAAAAAATCACATATGAACCAACTTAACTTTTGCATTATTCTGATATTACTCCCTTATATACCAGGAGCATATAAGCTAGTTGGTATTTCTACAATAGAAACATGTATTGTAGGCAGGGCGCAGTGGCTCACACCTGTAATCCCAGCACTTTGGGAGGCCGAGGTGGGTGGGTCACCTGCGGTCAGGAGTTTGAGAACAGCATGGCCAACATGGTGAAACCCTGTCCCTACTAAAAATACAAAAATTAGCCTGGTGTTGTGGCGGGCGCCTGTAATTCCAGCTACTCAGAGGCTGAGGCAGGAAAATTGCTTGAACCCGGGAGGCGGAGGTTGCAGTGAGCTGAGATCATGCTGTTGCACTCCGGCCTGGGTGACAAAGTGAGACTGTCTCAAAAAAAAAAAACAAAAAAACCTGTGTTTCTTTTTGTACTCTGTTCTGTTTAAGTATTGGTATATTTAAGACTGGAAGGTTATTTTATGTATTTAATATATTTTTTTCTATATAGTAGGTATAGTTAATATTTATAACAAAAGAATAGGTGAAAATATAGACATTTTTAAATGGTGCCTTTATATGACTTATGCATGTTGCTTTTTTTCTAAACAGAGATACTCAAAATGATTTTATAATTATAAGTGATTTATGTATTACTGCCTTTTTACTAAACTGATAACCTTAAAATTATGCCTTGAAAACTTATACATTTCCACAAGGGATTTTGTAAATATTTTTTATGACTTGGAAATAGCAGCATAAATGGAACCTGGTCTGAGTTCTTTTGCACATTTTATGGTGGCTGTTCCTAAGTATACCACCATCCTTAATCATATTGTCAGGTTCTTCTCACCTTATTCTTGGCACATGGCTTGCTTCATATTTCATAGAGTAATAAAGGTTTTGTCAACTTACTCAGCTTCTTGATCAGCCATCTTCACATGTCCTTTTTGCCTCCTGTTTTACAGTTGAGACCCTTTTCTTTTTCTTATTTCATTTGTCTGCAACATCCTAATTGCTACTCTAATAGCCCCTTCCTTCCTTCCTTCCTTCCTTCCTTCCTTCCTTCCTTCCTTCCTTCCTCCCTTCCTCCCTTCCTTCCCTTCCTTCCCTTCCTTCCCTTCCTTCCCTTCCTTCGCTTCATTCCCTCTCTTCCCTCCCTTCCCTTCCTTCCCTCCCTTTCCTCCCTTTCCTCCCTTTCCTTCCTTTCCTTCCTTTCCTTCCTTTCCTTCCTTTCCTTCCTTTTCTTTCTTTCTTTGATGGAGTTGTGCTTTTGCTGTCCAGGCTGGAGTGCAATGGCATGATCTTGGCCCACTGAACCTCTGCCTCCTGAGTTCCAGCAATTCTCCTGCCTCAGCCTCCTGAGTAGCTGGGATTACAGGCATGTGCCACCACGCCTGGCTAATTTTGTATTTTTAGTAGAAATGGGGTTTCTCCATGTTGGTCAGGCTGGTCTCGAACTCTGGACCTCAGGTGATCCACCCACCTCGGCCTCCCAAAGTGCTGGGATTACAGGTGTGAGCCAACACACCCGGCCAAAAGCTTCTTTCTTTAACTTAGAACAAACATGTTTATCTTCACTATGGGAGCCCCTCTAGGTAGAAATTATGGTCTCTAATTGTAATTTCTTGTGCTTAACTAGGAGAGATTGAGATAAAAAAACATAGTTGAGTTAGGACGTAAGGCTGCAGGACTTGTATAATTTACTTTTTAGTTAGAATACCAATTCTGTGTATGTGTGAGTCACACTGTATTATAGTAATTGTGCTACTTAAATTCAGTATTGTGAGAGAAAACAAAAGCCTGGATAAATTGTTTACGTAGGTATGCAGGTTTTGAATAGTAAACTGTAGTTCAAATTAAATTGCATAAACAAGAACAATGGATTCTTAGGCTGTTTTAAAACATCAGGATTGGTGAGTATTAAATAAAATATCAGGCATTCTTAAGATAACCTTTTGCAGCATAATTAACAGAGTCAAAGGGGGATCTTTCAAAGAAAATTAAAGAAGATCAGATAGCCCAAGTGATTAATACTGAATTTTCCACCAAGTACTGACCTGTCTGCAAACAGGGTTAACATGGGTTATGGAGCCAAACTGCTGGGGTTCAAACACCATTAAAATTACTAGCTATGTGACACTGGAAGTTATTTGACACATCCATGCCTCAGTTTTGTCATCTATAAATTGGGGGTTGCATCTACCTCATAGGGTTGTAGTGACAATTTAAATGAATTAAGGGATGTTGAGTACGTGAGAGAACAGTACCTGGCAAAAAGAAGTGCTCAGTAAATGATATATATAGTTATAAGTGTCAGGTTAGGTGCAAACAAGAAAATGTGTAGGTGCAAATGAATTTGAGTTACTTGTCAAGGAACTCGTCAGTTTATTTAAAAAATTATGCAAACAAATGAAACTTCTAGAGAATCAGTGCAATCACCTGATGAATGAGAGATGAAGAGAAAGGAAGAAGTGATGAGATGCCTTCACGCAGAGGCAAGCAGATGCTATGGGTGGGGAGTGAAACTTTCAGGTGATATTTTTTGGCAGTCATTTCCATGACATGAAGGATTGACACTGAGGACAAAATTAGTCTCGTAAGGTTTGAGGTGATGGGATTTGAAGGCAAGTGGGAAATGTTGGTATTTTTTTTTTCCTTTTGATCATCTCTGTGCCTCAGCCTCAAATGCTGCTGTCTAGTATCCTAGTTTGCTTCCTTTCCTTGTTCCTCTGTTGCTCCTAAGCATGTGGCTGTCCCATTCCTTCTCACATGAGGTTTCTGTCTCTCCTACTCTTTTTTTTTTTCTTAACATGATTAAGACAGTTTTTAATTTGTTGTTGAAGTGTTGTTGTAATACAGTTTTATTTTTCCCATTCTTGAGTTTTAAAATTTAGTTATTAATAAATTGAGTTTGACTGTTATATAGATCTTGTCACCCTTTTTTTGCTTTTTGCTTTTGTTTTTGTGTTTTGCGGATCAGTAATCATTGATATATTTAAAGGAGCTTTCTATTCCCTGAACGCTTCTGGAACATTAAGTTTTTTACCCAGCTCAAACTGTCACTAAACTCTACATCCTCTAAAACTTTACAGATTTTACACCTACATAATTTTTATTATTTTTATTTTTGTTTTTATTTTCATTTTGAGACAGAGTCAGGCTCTATCACCAGGGCTGGAGTGCAGTGGCATGATCTCAGCTCACTGTAACTTCTGCGTCCTGGACTCAAGAGATCATCCCACCTTACCTTCCCATGTAGCTGGGACTGCAGGCATTTGCCACCACCCCAGGCTACTTTTTGTATTTTTAGTAGAGATGGGGTTTTGCCACATGGCCTAGGCTGGTCTTGAACTCTTGAGCTCAAGCAATCTGACCGCCTCAGCCTCCCAAAGTACTGGGATTACAGGCATGAGTCACCATGCCCAGTGCATAATTTTTAAATAGTAACAAACACTTAGAATTCATATTTCCCATCTGAACCCATTTGAAGCCAGTCATGCCACATTATTAAAAGATTTAGACTTACATAGGATCATTTCTTTCTTAATTCAGTATATTTTTTTTGAATTTGTAGCCAGCATTGTATTAGGTCCTGAGAACAAAAGGATGAAACATAATTCCTGCCCTCAAGAAAGCATTGTCTTGTAGGGATAAGAACCAGGTCAATAAATATTCTCTAGTGCCTTAAGGATTGATAGGGAGTACTAGATATAGTGGAACACGTTAGAGAAAGGACTCAACACTGGCTGAGATAGAGCAAGAGAGACAGCAGGAAGCTAAATCATGAAGGGCCTTATGTGCCATGTATTTCAGATGTTATCTCGTGATTAGTAAATATTGAAGATTTTAAGCAAAAGAATATCATCAGACTTGCGTGATTGCATCGGACTCACCACCCTTTAGTTATGGATATGCCTTACTAAGACTGGAGTAACTTTGTAAGTTTACTCCTGTTAGTAAGCATATCCATAACAAAGAGTGGTGCGTGAGACTGGAGACAGAGGAACCATTTAGGCAATTATTGCAGTTGTCTAGAGAGTGTTAATGAGGGTTGGAATTATGGTAGTGACAGTGTTTTGAATCTAAGAAATGTTAAGCAGAATTGACAGGAATTAGTAATAAATTGGCTCTAAAGGCTGAAAAAGAAGGCAGAATATAAAGTTATTCTTTAAGGTTCTGTGTGTTGAGGCTATTTACTGAAAGAGGGAAAACTGGATGAGGAACAGTGCTTGGCTGAAATGATAATCAAGTTTAGTTCTGCACATGCTGATTTTGAATTAAATGTCAGGTGTCCAGTGTGTGCTATGTAGGGCTGAAGTTCGAAAAATAATTGCCAGCTAGAAATATAGATTTGGGAGTTATCACTATGTAGGCACAAGTTGAAACAAATTTCTGTGAGAGATGGGAGGGAGTGGGATCAAGAACACTGAAAAAATAGCTTTGAAAAGTTGAAAAGTTTTGAAAAGTTCTCTTCCTCTGAGTGTGAAGAGAAGGGAAGATGGTAGTAGTCATAGCTAAGTGGGTTTTTTAGACAAGGAACTCAGAAACTTCACACTCATACTTTTTTTTTTTTTTTTTTTTTCTGAGATGGAGATTCACTCTGCTTGCCCAGGCTGAAGTGCAATGGCACGATCTTGGCTCACTGCAGCCTCCACCTCCTGGGTTCAAGTGATTCTCCTGCCTCAGCTTCCCAAGTAGCTGGGATTACAGGCATGCGCCACCATGCCTGGCTACTTTTGTATTTTTCGTAGATAAGGGGTTTCTCCATGTTGGTCAGGCTGGTTTGCAACCCCTGACCTCAGGTGATTCACCCACCTTGGCCTCTCAAACTACTGGGATTACAGGCGTGAGCCACCGCACCTGACCCCACATTCAGAATTCTCTGCCTTAGCCTTCTCCTCCTCTCCCTCTGCTGCTGCCTCTTCCCCCTCCCTTTTCCTCTGTCTCTAGAGTTTTAAATTTTTTATTACTTGTAGATATTATCACTACCAAATATTTGCTTTATACAAACAATTTTAAAAGGCAGTATACTTCACTCTGTGGTAATATGTAAATATAATTTTGATTTCCTTTTGAGCTTTTTCAAATATATAAGTATTGGAAGTGATTTTAGGACTTTTAACTGAACAAGATACGATTTTTAAGGGTAAAGAGTTAATTATTAAATCCAAATGTGATGTAACTAAACTTTTATGATCACGCTTATTCATGAAATTATTTAAAGTCACATTTGGAAATACATGGTTTGAGATGAGCAAAATCAAACCTTGAAATTATATATCATTTTGTATCATTTTTCTTTGGCCAAATATATTTTTATCTTACTTTCCTAGCATATTAGACTGGCTGTATCAGGTAATTATTTCGGCTTTGTGTTTCTTTATCTTTCAAATATAATAGATAACCTTCAAAATTTAATTATTTGAGAGCAGCAGTAAAGATAAAATTCAGTAAATTTACAAAAGACTTTTCTGAAGAGAAGTGTGAAACCGTGTGTTGGGTAATTAGTTATAGTTCGTTATCGAAAGTATTGAAGCTTCTTGTGTTCTTTTATTGTTGTAATTATTATTTTTCTTAAGTGTCACATTTATTTATTTTGCTAATTGTACATATTTATTGTAGATAATTTGAAAAATCAGAACATTTTTCTAAAGAAGAATGAAAAATCAGAAGTAATATTTGAAATCCCGTTAACCAAAATATACCCCTATATAAATATTTTTATTTCTTTTGTCATTTTTTCTAGGTACACATTAAAATATGTTTTTTATACACAAATGAAATAATACTATATTGACAGGACTATATTTTTTCTGCTTATGCTTCCTTCCTGATACTGAAGGAGGGAGAAATATATGTTTTCACTGACTATAAGACTTCTGTTTTAAAGTCTACTTTCAAAGTTCAAACTTTTGGTAAAATATTTTATACTTAGCCAAACAGCAGAAAAAGACTTATTTAAAAACATGTCTGGTAACTGTGTGCAATAATCCATAGCTAAATATTAAAACTTCTTTAATAGTTGCAGAACGTGAGGTTGATTTTTGTTGTATATTGAATATATATTCCTATTCTGAAAATGAATGTTTTCCCATTTGTTAAACAAAAAGTCTACAATGAACCAAGATGTAGATAATTAGTGAGACTCCCACAGTGTTTAACCCAGACAGATGAAGAGTTCTCTGTCATGATCATTGTGACCAAAGTTTTATGGGCCAGTCTCACTGAAACCAGCTGGCTCTGTTTCTAGGCAGCCTACCCGAGTTGCCTATTGCCATTCACTTATTATCACACCTTAAACTTACCAGAGAGATCAAGAACCTGTTCATTAGGTAGACTTACTGTTTCTGGCAAGGTTCAGTAATTCCTTTGTCACTATAATAAATGAACCTTAGCCAAAAATGTCATCTGTGAAGAATCCTCTTGGAGTTATGAAAAATCATGGTTGGTAGCAGAGTAAGCAATCTGAAAGAATAACAATATAGTAGTCTTCCATTGGCTTGAGAATAGAGCACCACATTTTGTACTTTGGAGATCTTTGACTTCAGATTTCTCTTTCCTGTAAGTACATAAGCAGATACAAACCTTGGACAGCATGTTTTTATTTTCTAGTCCATTCCAGGAAAAGAAACTATATCAAATGTAAAAGTTTCATCACTTAATGTGTTTAATCAATTGAAACTCGCTATGCAAGTTCTTCTGTAATATTAGTTATAATCAAGTCTGTTAGGATTTTATATAACTTCTCTAAAGATAGTCCTCCTAGTCATTTGACTTCTCAGCTATAGCTGTTGTTTCCAGAAAACTTGTAAATGTTAATCAGAACTACAATTGACTTACCTTCAGCTGATTTGCCTCTTGTCTAGAAAATGTGTTTCTGAGATGCAGTGGTTTTTAGCAAACAACTTAGTGAATAATTCAACAAATATTTAATGTATGCCTACCATATGCTAGGTAATTGGCTAGGCATGAGAGGTATTAAGCCATTTAAGACATGTTCCGTGTGTATTGGAAGATCACAGTATAGTTGGGAAAATGAAAACAAAAATAGTTACACTATAATGTAATAAATGCTGTAACACAGGTCTGTACTGAGTATGAATTATATACATGACTAATTTACCCTGTTAGATTATAAACTCTTAGAGGACAGTGTCTAGTATACCTTCATATTTCCTAAAGTGAGTTTGCACAATGTGAGTGCTTAGGAGGTATTTATGTAATATGTGAATTAATGCAAAAATATCAGCAGAGAGAATATTCTTCCACTGTTGTGTTTAATAGAATTAATGGTTTCAGGAGTTTCTACTAATTAGTCTTATTTTGATTTTTCTGTTACTTCTCCAAACAATTTACTTAATACTTCCTGAACTGGTTCTCAGAATGTTGACATTGCCTGAGAAATGGAATTTGTCTTTTATCAGTCTTGTGAAGGTATATCCTTAACTCATTCTTTGCAATTTGCTCTCTCAATCTTTAGTAACAGATTTATCTCTTTTGCTGGATATAGAGTCTGATTTTTCTTGCACCTGATGAGGAATGGTAAGATAATTAAAGGAAAAGTACCAGTGATATTTTTAGCTAAGCCGTTTTAAATTGTTTTGTGATCATCCTACAAGAAGGGATATCACCTATAAATAATAATATAGTGACTGTACCTTTATAGAAAAGGCTAAGATGAAAAGCTCCTTATAAAATCTTTTTACTGTATGTGCTATGTTGACTTTATTTTTGGTTGTAGGTAAAATTAATATGACTTTTGACAAAAAGAGTACTGAGTTTTCCTTGAGTACAACCAAATGAACTTTGCAAATTAATACAGTTTATTCTGAGTGAATGCAATCTAGTCTCTAGTTCATTGTTATAAGCCATTTTCATGATGTTTTATATGGCTCCATTATATACATATACATATACATTATCATTTGCTGTGGAAGTAACTTGTACCAACTAAACTGCTTAGAAAGTGTTACTAGCTTACCTGTCATAAAGTATATATATTTTTTCCTTTTAAATAGATTATTGAAGTTGGCCTTTGTGAAGTTTTTGAATTGATCAAGGAGACACGATTTTCTCACCCATCCCTGTGTCTCAGGAGTCTCCAAGCCCTGCTCAACGTGTTGCAGGGCCAGCAGCCAGAAGGCCTCCAGTCTGAGCCACCTGAGGTCCTAGGTAAGAGCCAATGCTCATTCAGTGAAGCATTTAAAAGTGAATATAGTTAATAATAGAGTATTATACACTTCAAATTGTTCAGAGAATATTTCTAAAGTTCTCACTAGAGAAAATGTTAAGTACTTGAGGTGATAGATGTCCACATTTTATTCATGAATCAACATCACTTTATATCCTATAAATTTATACAATTATAAATTGTCAATTTGCAGTTTTTAAAAAGTGAAGAGCTTCTCTTATGAAGCACACACAATAGCCTATAATGTAGTCTTTATTTAATTGTGGTATGGAAACAGCAGGGGTATAAGTTTTAGAGTATTTTTTTCTGTGTTCCTCTGAAGTTATGGTTTAAGAGTTGAAGTTCATGCACACACATTTCTCAATTAGCATGATGAAGCAGGGGGCAAACAAAACATAAATCCCTGAAATCCAGAAATAATCCTCAAACCTTAAGGTCACTATTAAATTAAATCGTTCTTATTAAACTTTTGGCCAAAATAGCTAACATTCACTTTCTCTAATGTGTTACTCTCAATGGTTTTGAAAAACAGGGAAAAGGAAATAAATGCCACAAACCCAAAACAGTACAATTAGTTTCTAAATTGAGGGGACATTTTTTTTGTATTCATCATAAATAAAAATCTATTTGTGTTATGGATTAAACTTCTGACTTGGCAACTTTCATTAAGTAAATAAAATGTTTGCTTTTCTTAAAGTGTGTTCCGATTCTTGCCTTTCATATAGGCTCGACATGTAATCCTTTAAATAAGATAGGAGCTTTTACTCAAAAGGTATTAAGGAATAGAAATATAGATGGAAGCATAATTTTTAGCTGGTTAATTGCTTTTTTTCTCCGATGCTAACTATGGGTCTTTAAACTGTCTAAAGTTTTCTAGATCCTTCTAGTATTATAGGAAAATTCTCCGAAGTACTAGATCTGTGGTTCTCATTATGTGGTTCTCAATTCGCATTAGCATGTGTCAGAGTTATCGGGGCCTTCCCTATGGTGTTTCTGATTCCATAGACTTGGGGTGGGGCCCAAGAATTTGTATTTGGAGTAAGTTTCTTGGTGATGCAGATGCTGGTTTGGGGACTACATTCTGGTTTAGACTAAAGCTTGGTCCTTTTTTTTCTACTTGGCTGTTTGGATTTTGTAGGACCCACCTGTGAGAACCAAATTGCATGAACCTAACTACATGTCAGATTTTTCTTTTTTTGGTCGCATGTGGTGATTCAGTTTTTGTGTTTGACTTGTTTGTTTGTTGGTTGGTTGGTTTTAATGGGAGGGAGGATGCTGGTCATTAAAACAAGCTGAGGATTTTTTAAACCATCCCCTTCACATACACAGTTATTAAAAGCTATTATCAAATAAAAGCTGTCATGTTGACAAGCAGGCGCCGTGTTGGTTATTGTTAAGATAACAACATTGATCATATTAATATTGTGAAGTGCTGCTTGACTGGACAGCATTTTACTGAAGATTTGACTTATTTTATTTAACAATATTTTGCTGGGTTTTCTTGGCTTTGGTTTTGTCAGTTAGCAAATAATTGGAATGTTAAAATACCCACTAAGACTTGTATGTCATATTTCCTCCTTTGAACATGTTATTTCTCTCCTCCTAAGTCTTCTACGATTCTCATGTCTTATGTCAATTGTTATATACTTTTCCTTTGTATCCGTTCTGTATATACTTTCTTTCCTTTATTCTTTTAAAACTAGACTTGTTCTTAATATTAGCTTTGAAATATAATGTGTGCTTTAGTCTTATTGTCTTGCATCAAAACTTTCACATTGGCTGGGTGTGGTGGCTCACGCCTGTAATCCCAGCACTTTGGGAGGCTGAGGCAGGAGGATAACTTAAGGCTGAGAGTTTGGGACCAGTCTGGGCAACTTAGACCCCTATCTCTGCAAAAAAAAAAATTTGGTCGTGGCAATGAGTGCTACTCAAGAGGCTAAGGTGGGAGGACCGCTTGAGCCCAGGACTCTGAGGCTACAGTGGGCTGTGATTGTGCCAAAAAAAAAAAAAAAAAACCCGAAAAAAATCCCACAAAACCCAAAAACTTTTCACCTTATTAATCTGTTTGTTTTTATTTTCTTGTTAAAAGTTTCTAATTCTGCTCTGCTGCCTTTCGTCTGTCTTCCATCCTTTCAGTGTTTACTGCTGATCTCATCACTGCTTTGGCTTATTTTTCTATGTAAGGGATTTCTTATCACTTCATATTTTCTATTTTGTTAAATTAGCTCAAAGATAAAACCACTGATTTGGTTCTTTTATAATAAATTTCTGTTGAAACTTGCCTCTCCTCCTTTTTTAAATCTAATATCCCAATCTTATTGGTTATTCTTTTTTTCCCCATTTGGTTGTTTTCGTGTTATTCATGAAAATATGTGTATATTTATGTAACTCTTACTGTAGAATATCTTGATGATTAGTATACACCAAGCCTCTTCTCTTTGCAAATAGATTTTGATTTTTAAATTATTTATTTAAAAATGTATTCCCTTCTGTTTAGTTAGATTATATTCTCAAGTATTCACTGAAATGTAATAGCACCCCCTTTGTTATGTGCTAAGAATGTATGATACCATTGCTGTTATTATGGAACTTAGCATCAGATATGTGTATAATTACAAGTGTGGATAAATTGTATGGAGGAAAGTAGAAGGAGTTCTGAGAGTCCTTTTTTGTTTTTTGAAACAGAGTCTTGCTCTGTTGCCCAGGCTGGAATGCAGTGGTGTGATCTTGGCTCACTGCAACCTCCACCTCCCGGGTTCAAGCTATTCTCCTGCCTCAGCTTCCTGAGTACCTTGGACTACAGGAGCATGCCACCATGCCCAGCTAATCATTGTATTTTTAGCAGAGACAGGGTTTCACTGTGTTGGCCAGGCTGGTCTTGAACTCCTGACCTCAGGCAATTTGCCTGCCTTGGCCTCCCAAAGTGGTAGGATTACAGTCATGAGCCTCTGCGCCTGGCCATGATTCCTTTTTTAACTTAAAAATTTTTTATTTACTTATCTTTAGGGACAGGATCTCAGTATATTGCCCAGGGTAGACTCAAACCCTGGACTCAAGTGATCCTCCTGCCTCCACCTCCCAAGTAGCTGTGACTATAGGTATACACTGCTGCACCCAGCTCCCTAAAAGCCTCCCTGAAGATGCGACATTTGAGATTTAGAGGGTGAATAGGAGGGAGTGAACTAGATTGTAAGTGCTCCAGGTAGAAATAACAGCATGCAATAAGGCTCTGAGTCAAAAGGAGAATGCATGAAAAGAAGAACAATATGGCTAGAATGTGGAGAGTGAAGGGAACAGTCTTGTGACAGGTGAGGAAAGAGGCAGGGACATGTGGAGCTTTACATGCCATGTTAAAGAATTTGATTATTGGGCTAGGAGGAATGGAAGGTCATTCTGTATTTCATTACGCTAAGAATATTGTTTTTAAAATAGCCTGTTTTCTTAAATTATTTGCTTAAATTATTGACTGTTTTCTTTCCCTGGAATCTTAACCTTTTTGAAAGGGTAGAGACTTTCTTTGTCATGTTTGCCAATACCCTAATGTAGAGTAGTTGCTAATGTGCGAGAGTTCAGTAAATATTGGCTGAATAATCAACAGATGTACTCGCTGAAGGGTAATAATTGGAGGAAGGATGGGTAGATGGAAATATGGACAAACAGGGGTAGATGAAAGGATGGAAGGAAGGATAGCTGGAGGAAAAGGTAGAGGAAAGGATAAATGGAAAAAAAATGAAAGTATAGGATGTGTACAGACAAGTGAAGAGAGGAAGGGAGAAAGAAAAGAAGGAAGAGGAAGACAGAAGGGAGGAAGGAATTAACAAAAGAGTGAAAGAATTTTAGGTAGACAATTAGATTTTTGGTTTGAAATTCTCCCTATTGGGGCAATAGCGAATGGTAAGAGATAATTTCTTAACACTTTTTAGTCAAAGAGATGATGATAGCATGGATTGGAAAGATGGTGATGAGATAGAGAAAAGTGGTTATCAGTTAGGATGTAAAATAAACAGGGCTTAATTTGGGATTAGCTGTGGAAGATGAGGGATTGGTAGGGGCTGCCTAGGTTTCTGTAAGTTACCAGATAACCCACAGGTGGCATTTTAGTTTTTAGAGAATTGCAGTACATTACTCCTCTTTCTCTTGTTCTCCTCCCTCTCTCCCTTCCCTTTCCCTCTCTTCATCTTTCTCGGTTTTCTGACTCTCTTTTTCTCTCTCCATCTGATTATTCACTCTGTAAGGATTTTTAGATCTCTCTTCTATGGAAGAAATACCCAGATGTCTGTTGATTGAATCTTGGATGGAGGTGTTCAGGGAATTTTGTGTGGAGACCTCTGCTGGTTTTAAAACATTTGTGTGTGTGTGTGTGTTTCATCTTCACCACTAAATGACTTTATGATTTAGGAAAAATCTTTTGACTACCCTGTATCTCAATTTCATTGTTAAAGGAGGAGAATATCTGTCCTATTGACTTGGAGGTTTTTCTAGGGTATAAATGAATTACATCCTCTCTAAGTGTGAATTGCTATTATGTTAATGATGTAGCCAATTTTATATTAAAGCACATTATGGCATATGTTTTATGTTTCTATTACTTTGAAAATATATACATAATTTCCTGGACACTTAACATCTTAAGAAGCCTCCTAATCTAAAAGGTAAAATAAGTATGATGAGTAGTCTGTTACTTGATAGGATGAGTTTCTTGAATATGTGAATGTCTCTAGGCAAGCTGGTTTTAAAAGACCTTAGATTTTCTCTTTTTACTAAGAAAAACAAGGAGTTGAACTGAATGTTCTTTAAGGCCCTTGTTACATAAATATTTCAACTTTTGGGGAAAAGAGTAACTGGAAAGAAACTAATGCAAAGTAATTGTTCTAGATTCCTTAAATTTTGTTTATAATGAGACTAAAAATAAATAAATATAGGCATATAATGTTCTGTATGTTGGATGAATATAATTGAATTCTATTTATCCACAGAGTCTCTCTTCCAGCTTCTTTTGGAAATCACTGTTCGAAGTACTGGGATGAATGATAGCACAGGACAGTCCTTAACAGCACTTTCCTGCGCTTGCCTCTTTAGTCTGGTGGCTTCTTGGGGAGAAACAGGAAGGACACTTCAGGCCATCTCTGCTATCCTCACCAACAATGGAAGCCATGCTTGCCAAACTATTCAGGTATTTCATATTTATATCTGCTTAGAAATTTGTAAGATGACAAGTTACAGTTTCATCTCAATTTCTGTCAATAGGAATTCTGCTTTTTCACACTCATTACAGTAACTTGATCTAAGATTGATACATAAGTAATCTACAGTATTTCAATTACTTGATATGTATGTTTAACTCTGAAGCTTTAAATATAATAAAATGAATTTTGGCCAGACCTCTTAAATCTTTAAGCTGGTCTTTGCCTTAACACCGTAGCCTTCTCTTTCCTTGCTGTTGTCTTGCTCTCTGCGTTCTCCCCTCTTCCCATCTTTCCCTGAATTTTTTAGAATGGAATTCATTCTTAGTTTTAAATATCTTTTCTCTGTTGAAAGAAAAAGATATGGTATCCATCTGATATATTTTTGGTTGGTTGATTATATGATTTTTAATGAGTTGATTTGTTTCTGAGTTGCTTCAGCTATGTATAAAACATTTTAGGCTTTTAATATTCAGTTGTGGAACAGACAAGCTCGTCACCATTTTAGTAGTGGGAAAAATAATCCTTCTTATAGGCAAACTTGACTTAATTATTTGGGAAGGCTCTGGAAATTGAGAAAGAAGTTAAGATTTTAAGACCTGACTGTCTACTCTTCTCTGGCCCCTTGGGCAACCCCAGAGCAAGTGGAAGGGCTGCCCCAATCCTGTTATTAGCAGACCAAAGATAGCAAAAGGAGTATATTGGTCATTTTCTGTCTTATTCAGTGATCTTGAACTCCCCTTGTCAAACAAGAGCCATTCCCTTACTCTAGATTTCTGCTCTTTTCTTCCTTTCTGCCTTGCTTGGAATCCTTTTGTCCCTTTTTATGGTCCTTAATTATTTTGAAGTTGCTCTAATACAACTGTGGTTTTCAAGCTGTGTTCTGTAGACATACTTTCAGGGTTTGGCAAATGTTTAATTTAAATATATGTTTAAAATATACAAATATTTTAAAAATTCTAATAAAATAATGCAAACATTCAGATACTATATACCAGATTTTAATAGGATAGTGCCCACCAACATGTGAGCTTATGAATTTTGATATGATTTGCTTTTATGTAGAGACTTAGGAATGCCATTAGAGCTCATAGCAGGAGTACGTGAACTATGTTCATGGAAAGCCTCCCAGAGGATATGAGGTGCGATCTAAACAATGGGTTGAAATTAGCCAGGAGAAATTGTTGGTGTTGGTGGTGTAGAGAGAGAATGTTCTAGGTATCCACATGCTAAGGCATGGAGGTGAGAGTAAGAGTGGAGTATTTAAAAGCTGAAAGAAGTTTAGTATAGCTATAGCACAGAGAGCTGGCAAATAGTATACCCACAACATAGAGAGCTGGCAAATAACAGAGACAGGACTCGAGGGCTTATCTGTCTCCAATATTTTCAATCACTAGACAACACAAAACTACTTGATCCTCTGAATCAATAGCTATGGTTCTCTACAGACCTGCCACATCACTACATCCCCAGCTCTAGCTGAAACACCATATAAAAGCCCATTACCTTAACATGACTTACAATGCTCTTCATGATTTGGCCTTTTATCTACCAGCTTCATTTCTCAAAACTCTCCTGGCCTGACTGTGAAAAGCTTTCCCTGATGATGTGTGCAGTAGTCCATTTTCACACTGTTGATAGAGATGTCCCTGAGACTGGGCAATTTACACAATAAAGAGGTTTAATGGATTTACAGTTCCACTTGGCTGGGGAAACCTCACAATCATGGTGGAAGGCAAGGAGGAGCAAGTCATGTCTTACGTGGATGACAGCAGGCAAAGAGAGCTTGTTCAGGGAAATTCCTCTTTTTAAAACCATCAGATCTCGTGAGGCTTACTCGCGATCATGAGAAGAGCACAGGAGAGACTTGCCCCCATGATTCAGTTACCTCCCACTGGGTCCCTTCCACAACACATGGGAATTCAAGATGAGATTTGAGTGGGAACACAACCAAACCCTATCAGTGTGTATAACTATTCACATCTCAGATTTATTTTGGCACCCAACTGCATATTACTTGTCCATTTCAAAAAGCTTAGCAGAGAGTTTAAAGCAAGGTAGACATGGTAGTACTGCAAGGTGCTGTATTGAAGGAGACTGAAATCCTTTCTGGAGGGTTGAACTCTCGACTTCAAAGGTTTTCTACAGATAAAACACTGTTTATTGCATTTGAGCTCAGAAACAAATCAATAAAAAAAGCACATGGAAAAAGGCACCATTATTGAGAATTAGCAGAAATAAATATGGTAGAATCAATCCTGCCAAATCCTTAGATATTGAAATTATTTGATATAGAATGTGTATGTGTATGAATATATAAAGTATGGTTAAAGTAATAAAAGAAGATACCAAAAGTATGATTAAGGAGTGAGAATATAAAAAGTAGTCAGACATTAGGAAAAAAAACAAATTGAATTCCTAGAAATGAAAATCCAAACAATTACAATTAGAAACTTAAAATGGGTTAACTATTGTATAATATGATTGAAGGTGGAAATGGCGAACTGAAGGATAAAGGGGAAGGAATTATCTTGAATGCAACAGAGTGACAAGGAGAGAAATATGGAAGATAAAATAAGAAACATGGATCAAGAATGACAAAATCTAATGTAATACAGTCTGAGTTCCACAAGGCAATAATAGATTTGTGGAGATAGAGTAGTTGAAATAATGGCTAAGATTTTACAGTATTGGTGAATGACATGGAATCCCAAGAGTAAAGAATTCTACCTTGCTTGAGATTTGCTTCTTATAGATGAACTTTTAGTTGGTACTTTTTGCTGGCATGCGAAGTATCATTCTGAACAATTTATTGTCTTATCAATGATGATATGTTACCAAAGTATCTTTGTTTTGTGTTTGTAACATTTTAAAATGTTTTTTCATTTTTTTCTTCTCTTTTGGCTAGGTGCCAACAATTCTAAATTCGCTACAGAGAAGTGTACAAGCAGTTTTGGTGGGGAAAATTCAAATTCAGGACTGGTTTAGTAATGGCATTAAGAAAGCAGCTTTAATGCACAAGTGGCCATTAAAAGAAATATCTGTTGATGAAGATGACCAATGTCTACTTCAGAATGATGGATTTTTTCTTTATCTGTTATGCAAGGATGGATTATATAAAATAGGCTCTGGATACAGTGGAACAGTTAGGGTAATGTGCTTTCTTACAGTTCCTTAATTATACAGAGTTATAACCATAACGAATTGTGTTCTGTGTGTTTCTAGTTTCATTTCTAGAATGTGACCTAATTTGGGTGTAATAATATTTATTTGAAAACTATAATTGAAATACAGGCATTAAATGTCATTCACCCATTTGTATTATTTTTCATTGACTGTTGATTATGAAACCACTGATAGACTACCTTTTTTTATTTTGCAGGGCCATATATACAATTCTACATCCCGTATTAGAAACAGAAAAGAAAAAAAGTCTTGGTTAGGGTATGCTCAGGTAAGAGACTATCCACGATAAACCAAAATTTTCTTATCTTTTAAAACATGTGATTTGCCCTTGTTTAATCAATAATGTCACTTCTAGTTAAACAAAAATGATATAGTTTTACTAATATGGCCATAACAACTGAATAGTGTAGTGTAAAGAACACTGGCTCAGAACTCATAAGAGGTTCAGTTTTAGTTCTGGCTCTGCTTATTACTAGCTATATGACTGGACAACTCATTTAACTTATTTGGTCCTCTGTTATTTAGCTTTAAGATGGGATTAAACATACCTTCTTTAGAGTTCTTGTTTAAGTGAGTCTCTAGATAAGAATTGAAGACCACCTTTATCATTAGCACTTTTTTTAAAAATTGAGACAGAATCTCGCTGTGTCATCCAGGCTGGAGTGGAGTGGTGCAGTCTCGGCTCACTGCAACCTCTGCTTCCTGGGTTGAAGAGATTCTTACACCTCAGCTTCCTGAGAAGCTGGGACTACAGGCCCATGCCACTGTGCCTAGCTAATTTTTTTTGTATTTCTAGTAGAGACAGGGTTTCACCATGTTGGCCAGGCTGGTCTTGAACCCCTGACTTCAAGTGAGCCACCTGCCTGACCTCAAATGAGCCAAAGTGCTGGGATTACAGGCCTGAGCCACCCCACCCAGCCTGATTAGCATGTTTTAATTGGAAATGTATACGTGTCCTGAGGCCAAATTAGGGTTTCTTACCAGAAACTCTTTCATTTTAGTCTAGTTTCAGTACTTTCTAGGAAACAGTGTTTGGCCTGCTCAGTAGACAGCTACCTGCATGGAGAATATGCAAAGAATCACAAGAGAGAAAAGCCATGGGCTGGTGTGTCTTTCTTAATGTTGTGATCTTATCTCCTGACCAACATAGCCAGATAGGTGTCAGCCTTTTACAAGGTCAGCAGCCAGATGGATACATTACTCCTCCTCTTATGGAGAAAAGCAAATGAAGGATGGACAAGAGAGACTAGAAATATTTTTTTCCATATGGTACCCACCTGAACAGTGAAACCCAAGTGCCCTTGTATAAGGATAGAGAATAAAGATTTCCCTGCATGCCTGCCTTGCTGAGCTCATGAGATTTGTTGTCAGGATCAAATGATAAAAGATATTTGAAACTATTTTGAAAACTATGGAAATTATTATTGTTGCGTGAAGAATAATTCTACTGTATCAACTGTTAGGGAGAATTTGGAATTAAAATTTTTTTTGGAGTTGTAGTTTCACTTTTGTCACCAAGGCTGGAATGCAGTGGCGCGATCTCAGCTCACTGCAACCTCTGCCTCCCAGGTTCAGGCGATTCTCCTGCCTCACCCTCCTGAGTAGCTGGGACAAATCCCAGCCTCCCAAAGTGCTCAGCCTCCCAAAGTGCTGGGATTACAGGCATGAGCCACCGCCCCCAGCCTGAAATTAAATTTTAGATAACAAATTAGTTTCTCAGTAATTGTCGCTTAAAAGTTGAACTTAGCTTAAAATATGTCATTGAATTTTTATTTGCCACTCTACTGTGTTTTATCTAAGAAATAATGCCGTGGAAAATATTTTATTATAGAAGTGTGTTCAGTGACATATCACACCTTCTGAAACCACTGTGCTATTCATTTTCAAATAGCAAACTCAATACTTGTTATTTTTCTTAAATTATTTGTTAAAGTAACAGTGATCATTTATATTATTTACTTGGCTAGTGATATGGTCATATACAAAATGTTTGTACCTGTACTGTCCTGTTTAGTATACCTAATTATGTTTCTGGGAATGTGTTAAATCAATTTTCAATAATGACTTTTCCTCTAAATGAGAGGAATGTTCTTGTATTTTTAATCTTTAACATCTTTTAGACATCAATATTGATGTATTATTGTAACTCAAAAACCTGTAATATGGAGTTGTATGGCTGCTTTTTCTGCTGAATTAGTAATAAATATTTTAACAGGAAAATGTTTTGCTGTTATCAGGGTTATTTATTATATAGAGATGTGAATAACCACAGCATGACAGCCATAAGGATAAGCCCTGAAACACTGGAGCAAGATGGTACAGTAATGTTACCAGGTATGTTTCAAGTAGTCATTTTTTTTTTCACAAGCAATTTTAAGAAATGTGCATGTTAGGCTATTTAGACATATAAAGAATGATTAGCAAGGGATAGTGCTTGCTTATAAAAGAGTTTTAAAAATCTTGACATACAAAGCATTTTATAGTCTATGTAAAGTTAATACATATCAAGACAATAGACATAGAAATATAATAAGTTTTAATATTTGTTTTCAAAATTGGCCAGCTATGGCCTAATCTCTGACCTCACCCCACCACGATTTTCTTAGCTGCTGAATTAGTGGAGTGATGTAACTGTGTTGCTCTTAATAAAATCAGAACTCTGACTCTCATGTGATCCAGTATAAAGAACCTTCTGTTTATTTTTACTTTCTAACAACACTGCAGTTGAGTTTTCCTCCTTTATTTTATTTTATTTATGTTAAAGAGGTTTCAGAGACAGAGAGTTTAGGGTGGGTCAGGAATTTTTTTAAAATTTCATCATTTATGCTTCTTATGCTTCTTAATAATGCTTTGATAAAGGTCTTTGGACATAGTTTATTTTGCTTTAATTTTGAGGCTTTTATATATTCACTTAAATCACTGCTAAATTTTCAGGCAGTAGGTCTCAAATTTTGTCAAATGCTGGAAAAATGCATATTCTTTATTGTAAGGTCTTTGAATTTGCTTATAATGTTGATACTTTCTGAAGCTGTTTATATTAAAATCTTGAACGTCTAATGTGTCTGTCAATAATTTCGTAGTAGCAATATTACTTGTAAGCACTTGACCATCTGAAAGTGAGAGCTACTTCTGAAGAGTGCATTGAGAAGAATAGCTGCTCCTGGGTTGCATGTTAATTTTTAAATATAATCTTAATAACTTCAAACATTTATTGGAACCTTACTACCTATACATAGATACATATTAGTGTACATGACACTATGTTAAAGTAAATACCACATTTCATGTCCATTTCAGAAATAGAGCAGCTTTGGAAAGCGGTTGACTTAATAAAATCATTTTGAAAATAGCCATCTATTTTCAGATATGTCAACAGAGTTTTTTTGTTTTTTTTTTTGTTTGTTTTTTTTCATTACAAGTCCTGGGCCATGTCTTTGGTCATAATAACAATAATGATAATAATATTAAAAAATACTTTTGATAACATGCACACTCCTTGCACATATTTATACATATATTAAAAGTAATCATGTTTGTTGTATAAAAATCATATGAACTAAAAAGAATGAATTGAAATAATTATAATCCCACTTCCCATATATAAACACTATGAACATGTTGGTAAATATCCTTCTCGTATTTTTCCTGTGTGTATATGTCCATACTTGTAAAAAAGTGTGATCATATGCTACATACTGCTTTTTTAATCTATCTCTTTCATTTAATATTCTGAAAATATTTCTAGGTCATTAAATAGTCTTCTACAATGTCACTTAAATGTTACAAAATATATTCCATTGATTAATGTTTGAGAATGAAAGCCTTCCAGTGTTTTGCTATATAAATTACACTGTAATGAGCATTCCTGCTGTGCTATCTTTGTGCCAGTCATTTTAGGATAATGATGTAGAGGAAAAATTCTAAATTGACACATGCCCTCCGCTGTAACACATGGGTACTAATATCAAGGATTTACTTCTGAGAAACCCTGCACATGTAATAGAGACGGTGACTGAGAAGACAATTTGAAAATATCTGCCTACAGCTATTTTATTTATTCTGCCTTGATAAAAAAAATTACTCAATGTCTGTATTCAGTTTAAGTTCCATTGCTTTGTTTAACTTCTGAAATGCAACTTTGAACGATACAAGCGTGGCTTTCTGTGTTTCATAAGTGTGTGGTGTATTAGTGGTGAAGAGTGAACCAAACTTCGGGAAGATAGTCCCGTATTTGTCTTCAAAACTGGCAGACATTGCTTGATATATTCCTGAAGATATGATCTTAAAATACTACATGATGGATAAAGAGAAAATCTTGAAACCACATGGCAGAAGACTCCTCCCTCAAGCCTGAAGAAGCCTTTTGTGATTTTCTCATTTTTTTGACCTGGACTGAATTTTCATCAAATAGCACTTTTTGTTTTTCCTGGGTAGGGATAGCTCCGCTCTGTAGCCTTCCAATCAAGGAGCAGAAGTAAATTGTCAGGTTTATAGATGGTAATGAATACCATGTTTCAAGTCGACATAAATCAGGTAATTCCCTGAGCTTCATGTTCCAACTTGTCTTACAGTATAGTTTATATTTAAAAAGTATTTCAACCTAGTTTTGACGAGCTTAAAACATACTTTTTTCTCTGATAATTGTCATTTTATTCTTTAAACCTCAGCTTATCTTACAGATTGTATCTTTATGTCATTTTCTCCCCATGTCTGGTGACAGGTTGCCTCAGTTCTGAGGCTTTTTGCTACTCTTCTTGCGCCGCTTCACTCCTCACCCCTGCATTTATCTGAAATTATAATGAGTTTTTCTTCTTTGCTTTTTAGTTTAAAATCTTACTGCTTAGAGCTTGAGAAGCATCTTTCTTGCGCCTCTTTGTGTTCTGTACAGTGGACTAGGAACTCTTTCTTTTGATTTCTCCTCTCTTTGATTACCAAGTCTCTTGGGCTACCAGTGGGCCTTGTCTCCCAGTTTCTATTTCCAGTTTGTGATCCCTGAATTCTCTATTTGGTAAGGGTCTGCCTGTGTTTTGCATATTTATGATAAGGAAGTATGCTAGTATGAAGCTCCTGGGCAAAGATAAAGAATAATCTAGCTTATTCGGGTGGGCTCCATTACTGCATTCCAAAATCAGAATTTTATGTTTTATTGATTCAGGTGCAACTAGAAATGAAATGTTATTTTTTGTTTTGGTATTGTGATTAATGGAGAGATTCATCCTAGTTCTCTGCAGTTATTTTGGGAAGTATGTGTGTGTGTGTGCTCTTAACTTGCTTGCTGAAAATTTGTTTTTCCAAAAGGATAGAATTTATACTTAGATGTTGATTTTGCTTGTAGTTTTGTGTTATTTAGTAGCAGTCACTAACACATGTTCCTGTGGTCCTTCTGTAATACTGGTATCCCTTGTTACAATTGAGCTTGTGCATTATTTTGATCAAAGTATGTGGTGTACTATTTTATGGAGATGCATACAGTATTGATGAAATACGGTATTCTAGCCAAGATACATGACTGCTTTGAGATAAAAGTAAAACGTAAGCATGCATTTGTCTGCTCTGTGTTGGACAAATATTTAAAAAGTTTAGAGCACACTAAATGCCAAAAATGCTTTGAATAAACATAGAATTTCTAAGTGGGAAATGCACAACTGGTTATGAATATCCATTTTACAAAGCAAGGGATATCTAGTTGGGCACAATAGGCATCAAATACAGAAGCTTTAAGTCTGTATTTTTCTGTGACACTAATGACTGTGATGTATGTCTGAGAGTAGAGTGTTGCCTCCATTGCATGTGATTGTATTGAAATGATTGTAACCAACATTATAGTTTGTTCATTGTGGTGCATGTTTACTATCAGACTATATCTAATACTAACTCATTTTGAAATGAGGTGGGATCTCAGGTCCTTGGTTATGGAACATTTATAAATATAAGCAAAAATGTAATAAGTATGATTAGTTGAATTAATCTCTGCTAATTTGTAATTCTTTATTAAAAAGCACAGTCTCCTTTTGAGTTTAAGTTTATCCTTATTGCGTGGAGAACTCTCATTTTGACTTCAACAGAGGAGTAAATTCATTTTGCAAGGTATTTGCTTGTATTGTAATATAAATACTTTTTCTTCCTTTTGCACAGATTGCCACACTGAAAGTCAAAATATTTTATTCACTGATGGAGAATATATTAATCAGATAGCTGCTTCAAGAGATGTAAGTATCCTGAATCTTAAGTAACTAGTGTAAATTGAATTTCTCTGCCTTAAATTATTTAGCTTTTATTAGATAGACTGTAGAGCCTTGAACGACCTCTTTCTGTAATGTAATGCTGTGGATGTTTTATTTTTCTTAGGATGGCTTTGTTGTCAGAATATTTGCCACAAGCACTGAACCTGTTCTGCAGCAAGAATTGCAACTTAAACTGGCTAGAAAATGCTTACATGCCTGTGGTATCTCACTATTCGATCTGGAAAAGGACTTGCATATTATAAGTAAGATAGCAAATCAAGTGTTTTCCCCGTATTTTAATTTTCAATTTTTAATTCTCTTAAAAATGAATTGTGTTTTCACCAGTTCAGCTTATATTGTAGCAGCTATTTTGTGTCTGTTACTATTAATATAAAGGATAATTTTGAATTAATATGAATAAATAGGAAATGCGGCCTTTAAACAAAGTACAATATTTGAAGACCATTCTAAGGAAATGACTAATAATTTCTCATTTTTGTTTTGAATAGAGCAAAAGAAAATAAAATTTAATGAGAATTATGGATGGATATTGGTGAATGCCATTAGTTTATATGTTGCATCATTATTCAACTATTTAAAAATTTGAAAACTTACGTTGTAAATGTCATTACAACAATATGCATAGTTCTCTCATTGAAATTTTTTAAGTTTTTACTTGAACAGATTTTCAAGGTAACAATAGAATGGTATTATAGATTGTGACAGTGGTAATTGGCCTTACACACAGGTCAGTAATCTTTCATTTGGATAGAGAAATGCAGATAACCACAGAGTATTTCTTCGGCTTAGATTATTTGCTGTTGTAATGTTGTAAAAGTAATTAGGATCATGAGTTCTCCTGAGAGTTTTAGTTTTGGCTTGCCACGCCACTCCAGGTTTAATAGTGACCTTCCATAACTTGTAGGGTTCTTTGCAAGATCCTCCTCCTTTTTTGACTGTTATCTCATTATATTTAATAAACTTGGCATTAGTGCTTTACTTTATATATTCTAATTTTGTAGTATTTTTATAATTCTTCCCTAGAAAAATATCGAATTGAAATTACATATTTAAAATTTTAAAAGCCCATAAACTAATTAGTAGTTTGTATAGTTGGACAAAATCATAAAATGTAGTATATATAAAGTTACAATTATTCATAGTTTTACAATTTGAAAATATGCATAAGGATCTGTGTGTATATGCATTTTATATATATATATAAAATATATATTTGAATTCATGGAGTAGCTATATAAGATGTTCTTCTGTAGAAAAAGACATAGGCAGAGAATCTGAAATACTTTAATTCAGATATCTGCATAGCATTGTACCAAGCTCAAATGACTGTGTCTGGACTAACCTCTCCAACCTTTATATTTGCTTATTTGTAAACCAAATGGTATAGTTGAGGAATCAAATGAGATAAATTTTGTGAATGCATGGTACCTAATAAATGCTCAATAAAAATTTGGCCATTTTTACATTAATTCAAGGAATATTACTGACATTGAATTTTTAAAATTTTTTGTTGTATATTTAAAAAATTAATTTGTTACTGGTTTGGAACAAGAGAAACAGATTATGATAGCTTTATCATTCCTTGGAGTACTATACCTATGGTTAATATGTTTAAAAATTTGAGTGTATAACATTTTGTCATCCTTGTTTTTTAGTGATTTTGAATTGACATTGCAATCACTCAAAATAGTACATGTTGTGTTTAGAATTCTTCGTATTAGAAATGCAATAGTATTTATTAGTCTCGTATTTCAGGTACAGGATTTGATGAGGAGTCAGCAATTCTTGGTGCAGGACGAGAGTTTGCGCTAATGAAAACAGCAAATGGAAAGGTAAGTTATTCTCTTTGGATTAAAAATTAGCATTCTCTGATTTAAGAGATTAAAGTACAATCTGTTGATTCGTTTATATAGTTTGCATCTTTAATGAGAATAATCTTTTAAATTTTGATTTAAAATTATTTTTTATGAGATAAAATTTTATTCATGTTGGAAACAGTACAGGCATGCCTCATTTTATTGTGCTTAGTTTTGTTGCACTTCACAAATAATTGCTCTTTTTACAAATTGAAGATTTGTGACAACCCTGAGTTGAGTGAGTCTGTTGGCACCATTTTTCTAACAGCATATGCTCACTTTGTGTCTCTATGTCACATTTTGGTACTTCTCTAAATATTTCAAATGTCTTTATTATTACATCTGTTATGGTGATCTGTTATCTTTGATGTTACTATTGTAGTTATTTTAGGGTACTATGAAGTGTGCCTATAGAAGACAGAAAACTTAATGGATAAAAGATAAAAAAGCTATTATGAACTGTGTCTTCCTGGTAAAATACGTGTATTTCTTGCTCAACTCCCATAAGTTGAATAGTGTGAAAAAGAGTTTGTTTTTATGTGAATTTTGTTTTTCAGTAAAATATAGATGTCCTTTTTTTTTCTGTGTGAAATCTGATGCACTATTAAAAAAAGCACCATAATTCCTTTTTTTTTTTTTTTAAATGTATAAGATATATTACACTGGCAAATACCAGAGTCTTGGAATCAAACAAGGTGGTCCTTCAGCAGGAAAATGGGTTGAGCTGCCAATTACAAAATCTCCAAAGATAGTACACTTCTCAGTTGGACACGATGGCTCTCACGCCCTTTTAGTTGCAGAAGATGGGAGCATATTCTTTACAGGATCTGCTAGTAAAGGAGAAGATGGAGAATCAAGTAAGTTGAGTGATCAACTATGCATTTAGTAAAAATAAATGCTTTATTTTAGTAAAAATAAATAAAACTTTATTAACATAAAGTTACCAATTTCAACAACACTAACCTCACCAAGTTAATAGAGGATTTTACACTGGGGACATATTTAATTAATGGCAGTGGGTTACTGTTCTTTGAAAAAAAAATGTGCTTGCTAATTTCATTCTAAAGTTCATATTTATGAATTTTTATGCTTTATGGGAACGTGGCTATTCATCTGAGAGTATATGCTTATTTTATAGCAGTTAATGTTATTTTAAAAACTTACTTGTTGCAATAGATTATTTTAGAAAACCCAAAACTGTGGAAGGAATGTATACTTCAGAATGAAGGTAAACTTTATGTAATCTTTTGTAATAGTATTGACTGTGGATTACAGTTTTTGTTTTTGTGTTTTTTTGAGACAGGGTCTTACTCTGTGACCCAGGCCGGAGTGCAGTAGTGTGATTAGCTCACTGCAGCTTTGACCCCTGGGCTCAAGTGACCCTCTCACCTCAGCCTCATGAGTATGTGGGACTATAGGCACATGCAACCATGCTCAGCTAATTTTTGTATTTTTTGTAGAGATGGAGTTTTGCCATGTTGCCCAGGCTGGTCTCAAACTCCTGCACTCAAGCAATCTGCCAGCCTCCCAAAGTGCTGAGATAACAGTCACGAGCCAGCATGCCTGGACTGGATTACCATTTTTGGTGTTATTTCTCTGTGATGGAATCATTGCTAAGCAATGACAAAGAAAATTATTTTGTTTATGTCTCATATTTCTTATGTTTCTGTGCAGTCTTCCTCAAAGTGTCATTTTTCTCTTGTTATAAATTCTCACGTACTTTATATATTTTAGCACATTGGAGAAGCATCTTATAGGGATTAGGTTGTAAAGCCAATACATAATGTAAAAATAATGTGAAAATAAAAATTATTTGGAAAAACCCTTTAAAGTAGCCATAAAGTGTATTATTATCTCTCAGAATAGTTTTTCCTTCTGGCATTTGGAGGACATTGTCCTTTCTTTGAGGACCAGGTAAAGTAGTTGTAGTGTATGTGTCTGTATATATACGTATGTGTGTTTGTGTATACGTGTGTGTGTGTGTGTGTGTGTGTGTGTGTGTGTCAGTGTGTGTCATGTCGTATGAAAAGTAGAGTATTTTAAGCCCCAGCACAGCAGCAATATATTTTTGTTCTGAAAGACATGCAGGGACTGGGGTTGACTGAAGGAACAATTGGTTTCTTGTTTCCCATATTTTGCCTAGTTCAAGGATTTAGTTTTTGAGAGCAGTGGCTGCTTGAATCACCACATTTAAAATTATTCACTCTCCTTCCATATATATATATATATATCTCCTTTCCTTATAATATCTTATTGACAGCTGGGCACGGTGTCTCACACCTGTAATCCCAGCACTTTGGAAGGCCAAGACGGGTGGATCACGAGGTTAGGAGTTCGAGACTAGCCTGACCAA